GGCCCAGGAAATTCAGGGTTTCTGAAGGACCTTAAAGGTTTTTGATGACCATAAAATGTTCCTTTATTTTTTCTTAATGTAACTTGTCCTTGACTGCCCCCCCCCACCCCGACCTTTATTTCCAGCTAATTAGTCAACAGTATAAGCTATCAGTCCAGGGGATAGAGGGAAAGGGAACTAGGATTTTGAGTGCCAAGCATTTGATCCTGTCAACAACCTTAGGAAGCAGGTCCCACTGTTTTCATCTTGCAGAGGTGGAAGTTGAGCTTATTCAAGATCACCTAGCCAGAGAGACACACAGATAGAATTCAAAACCAGGTCTGTCTGGCCCTCAAATTCGTGCTCTTTATACTACCCTGGCTGGCAAATACTGGTTCCGAACAGAGAGAGGATGTAAACTATAAGTGAGAAGCATTCTGATAACTTCCCCAATGAAGCTTCAAGTAGCATCTTTCATCACTTTACCCCCAGGGGCCATCCTTACATCAGGCAGTTCCCAGGGCTTCCTAGGGGTGCTTAGCTTCTTTCCTATGTATTTGTCTCTCCACCCCATTTTGGCTTGTGCAAAGGACTTGCTCCCTTCTCTGGCTTTCCACTTGTCTGCAGGAAGACTGATTGGCAAATAAGAGCTTGGCTGCTAACCAAAAGGTTGGCAGTTCAAATCCACCAGCCGCTCCTTGGAAACCCTGTGAGGCAGTTCTGCTCTGCCCTGTCGGGTCGCTATGAGTCAGAATCGACTTGACAGCAATGGGTTTGGTTTGGTTTTCTCATGAAGGGTGGGGCAGTATAACTAGTACAGAGATAAATGCTTTCTAAGGAGGTGATTGGTCAGTGGTTCCCAATATGGAAAGGCACAGATCTTTCCACCTGTAATGACACCTTGAAGACTGAGTCTGCTCCCACAGAACCCTGGAGCACAGGTTTCCTCATGACAGAGTGTCGCCCCCGTAACAGGATGGAAATAGTACGTGTAACCAACCACAGTGCCTTTCCACACCTCCCTTCTTGGTATTTTGAATGAATTTTCCACCCAACCAAAATATGTCTCCAAAGCCATTTGAGAAATGTGAAGCTTGGCCAGCCTGTAGGAGAGCAAAGCTGTTGGTCTGGTATAGGTGTGGACAACCATGGATTTTCAAATCTGTAAACACCCTATGCCAATACCTTACAACTTTACCACATGGAACAGGTTTAACCAGTGGCCTTGTTTTATAGGAAAGGTTTTCCAAGTGCCAAATGTAGTCCTGGCCTTCCTGCCATTCTCCCAGGGAGTTCGAATTGGATTCTTCACCTTCATTATCTCCGGGGGGAAGTATTGCCCACGCAGTATCCCAGGAGTCACGAAACTGGTGTTTTATTACATGCAACATAGTCATTAAAGCTGAACCTTATTTCTGAGTCCATCGGAGGCAGCAGAGAAAATGGTCCAGGCGGCCAGCTTTACACCATTGCTCCTCTGCCCAGAAGCTTTCCTGTTTTTGATTTTCTGCTTCAGATTTTGGAGAGGGGTTCAGAGTGGGAAGCTCCAGGTTCTTGAAACCTGGTCATTATTTTGAATTAAAGGCAGGTATAAGTGTTTCACTTCCTGAATCAAATGATAACAATAATGGCTAACACTTTGTGCTTACTGCACTGTTCTAAGCATTTTTCATATAGTAACTAATTTAATCATCACAGAATCTTAGGAGATAAGTTCTATTCCAGCAGGTAAGGAACCTGAGCATTCTGGGGGTGATACTACAAGGTCTAGTGAGGGATACTAGAGGGTCGCTTGAAACAGGCCATTCTCCCTTTGGTTTCTGTTTTTTCTGTATACCATGAAAGATGGCAAACAGGCCATGAAGCTCTAGAAGCTTGAGTCTGTGTTTCTTAGGGTGGGACTTTCTGAGCCTTGACTTCCTTACCTCATAAATGATAACAGATTGTATGAAAAGTAAGTAGCTAATATCTGTGGATTAGGCAGAACATGTTATAAATTTAATGAATAATCATAGAAAGCTTTAGAAAGAGCTGAATTGTGAAGTGGATAGAAATGAGTGGTAGGGTGGTGGCCAGTATGAAGAGATTTAGTGTCACCTCCTCAGACATGATACAGAGGTAGCCTGAGGTTTTATTAGCTCACATGTACAGAGCTTATTTTTTTTTTTTGTTGTTGTTCTTGTGTTTAGTGAATTGTTGTTACGTGCCGTTGAGTTGATTCCTACTCATAGCAACCCCATAGGAGAGAATAGAACTCCCCCATAGGGTTACCTAGGCTGTAATCTTTACAGGAGCAAATCACCAGGTTTTTTTTCCCACACAGCCACTGGTGGGTTCGAACTGATGACCTTTCAGTTAGCAGCCCTGCTCTTAACTGTTGTGCCACCAGCGGTCGTTTTTAAGTGAATTAGTTACAGGCATTTAAAATTGGGAGATATCTCATAAAAATCTGAATTTTGGGCTTTTCTTGAAAACAGATTAGAAAATCTGGTAACACCGACCTATAAGTACCTCATGAAAGCTATTGGCTGGAGCTAAAAGCAGCTGCCTTCTTTAGACAGGAGTCATTTTCAGTTCAAACTCAGCCTATCCGTGATCACATGCGTAGGTAGGGGCAGAACCAAGACACGAACTCCAGTGCTCCAAGTCTTCCAACTTGGTGTTCTTGGGACCACATCACACTTCTCCAGTCCTTTTTCTGAACTGATACTGTGTTGGTTTTAGCAGTTCCTCCTGCCCCTCAAAGATGAGATTAAATTCCAGCTGTTAGTATGAGTCCAGGAACGCTGTATATTTTTTTGCTGTAGAAAGCTGGGAAGGGTGTTTGTTCAGAGTTGAGGGGCTCCTCCATGCAGTACACTCCATTCATCTGTTGTTTCTGTTTAATTCTACTGCTCTTCTACCAACAGACGTAGTAAAGGGCAATGGGGCACTGGGGTGATCCAGACAAAGATTTCAGTCCCAGCTCTGCCATTTACTAGCCATGTATTCTTGGGCAATTTATGTCACCTCAGTCTTAATTTGTAATGATAGGGGCTGCTCTTTATAGGGTGGGTGTGAGGATCAAAGACAATAATACTTACACAGTGCAGGCATGAGTTAGCATCTGAAAAAGGAGAGCGGTTGTTCTTATTAAAGACTTAGATATTCATATTTTGTGACTTGTTTGAGGGACTTCTTTATCACAAGTTAGTCTGTTTCCTTTAAGCAATGCAAAAAGATGATTGGTCTCTTAAGACACTTTTGACATAGAAGCTGTTGCCCTCATCTTATCAACAAGAATATGACTTTGTCAAGTTACTTAATATCTGAGAACCTCGGTTTTCTCATTAATCAAAAGGAAACACCTGTGTCTACTTCATAGCATTGTTTGGAAAATTAAATGAGGTAATTTAAGTGAAAGCACCAAAGTCATAGGGCTTAATACAGAGTACATTAAAATGGTGTTTAAATTTTTTGTTTTGTTTTTAACAACTTATTTCTTAACAGTTTTCCCTTTGAGGATCCTCAGCACATTAGAATAACGGTTAAAGCTGGGACCAAGCCAGGAGGCCTCTCTGGCAGCCTGTCTTTCCTGAGGCACCTCCTCTGAACCAGGCCTGTTCCTAACATGCATGGAGCCCAGGAAAGGAGTACTAGTAGGTGTAAATATTTGAAAATGGTAAATCAGGCCAACAAACTGTTTAGTCAAATGTGTTCTGTCCTGTCTCGACAAATTTACCTTCATCATGAACTGGAAAGCCAGGTTTGAGTTTAGGATTGTTGGACTCCTTGAAATTCTGAGGCAAGATGTGACTGAGCCCGAACAGGGAGTATGGGCCCTCAGGCCCCGTTTCTCTCGACTCTTGGCTCCATCTCATACAGAGAGAAGCCTTGTCTGCTTGTGTATGGACACATAGGCTCAGGTTCAGTAATCATTTATCAAGCACCTACTGCATACCAGGACACATGCCAATATTTTCACCTACTCGACCTTGTTTAATTCTTATGATAACCCTGGAGGTGGGTATTGCTTTACAGATGAGCAAACTAAGGTTTGTGGATGTTACTAGAATTGAAGCCAGTCTCACAACCCCAGTAGGAGCTTGCTCTCCAGTCATTTTGGAAATGTGATCTAATGCTTTTTCTTTTCTTTTCCATTAAGACCCCTCTGCTCTTGAACCTGCTTAACGTAGTATAAAATGTACAAAATGGATAGATGTATTTGTTATTAATCTCATCACTTTAATGAGTTCTGTCTTGAGTTAAACACATTCATGAGCCTTACTAATATGGAAATACGTGTGAACATTCATTTGTACAGTTACATACTCATTATTGTCTTCCTATCTGTTTATAGCTCTTTAATTTTGGAAAGATCATTTACCTTTTACTTTAGTTTTATCCAGAATATGAAGACGGGTCTTTGAGCATTCAGAAATGTAAAAGATCCTATATTTGAGAGCTTTTGGGGGGTAATTTTAAGAAGGGTATGTTCAGACCAGAGTGTGCCAGGAAGAAAGCACCCAAGGGCACTTAAATCATGTCCCTAAGGGTGTTTGAAGGATCTGGTCACATTGGCAGAGGAGAGAATACACAGGCAGATATGGTGTGGTTTTCAAGTATCCAAGTGCTTTTTGTGGAATATGGACCTCATTTTCCGTGTGATTCCTGTGGGCAGACTTAAGACCAGTGGTGCAAGTTACAGGAGGATAAGTTCTGACCATGAGCCAGAATCTGACCATTTGAGCTGAAAGTGGTTGGAACTACCGGGGAGAAACTGAAGTCCCCATCTCAGGAGGCATTTTAGCTGTTTGACTGCTGGCAGGGTGGTTATGGGAGGGGAGACAGCATTGAGCTTAGGCTTTCATCCTATGACCTTTAAGCCTTCAGGTTTGGAGTTCCGGGCTTGGAGTTTGATAATAACTAATATATCTCTTTTTCTTGTTTGTTTCCATGGCAGAGCTCATAGGAATTTTTGAACTATTTCCAAAGTATCTTCCCAGAAGCTCTTTCTGAATTGTGTGACCTTTTTCTTGCAGGAGAAAATGCTGAAGTATCCATGGACGTTTCCCTGGCTTACCGTGATGATATGTTTGCTGAGTGGACTGAAATGGCCCATGAAAGAGTGCCCCGGAAACTCAAATGCACTTTTACATCTCCCAAGGTAGGGTGCCTTGATGTGTACATTGATGGAGTTTCTATTTGGTCCCCAGGTATGTGGAAAGATTTGCTTTTATTATTCACAGACATTCCCCTTGTATCTTAGCATGCATCACTCACAACGGTTGGTCATTATCCCTCGATTTAGTAGATTAAAGGTTACTACAGATATTCATGCCCCTGGTTTGACTGTTTCTCCGAAATACCTCCTTAAAGCAATTCTTGGTTCTTTGATAAGTAGCTGAAAGTGTTTGAAGAACTTTGCTAAGCTGTTCCTAGGTGTAAGAATCTGTTCACATTGGTTTAATGCTTGTATCTGCTTCTGTGTTTCTTAGGTAAGGCATCTGTTTGTGGTCAAAGTTAAAGACTGAGGAATGAGGACTAATAATCCCAGTGAGCACTGTAGACAAATAGAGGACCTGAGAGAGGAAATCTGGCTTCCAGTCTTCTTATCCCTCCTTAAGGTTCTCCCTTCTCCAGTCCTTCCAGGAGGACTCATGTATCTACCCTCAGGAGCTTACTTTCCTGCATTGAGAGTAGGGAGATATTTTCTTTTGGGCAAAAGCCTTAAATTTCTCATCAACTAAAATTCAGGGATGGACTCATTGATGTTCAGAGGACAGTACGATTTGATAGCATGAGCACCAAATTAGAATTAGCCAGGGACCTGTTCCACGTATAAATGCTGCCTAAGATTCTGTTTCCCTTCCCCACTCTCCACTCGCCCACCCTGGAAATCTCTGCAAAGGTGAGATAGAGCCATGGTTACTATTACTCATGGTTGCTCATGTTCCTCAAGGGTATTGACATAGAGCACTACCAGCTGGGTGATCTCTGATGTCTCTTTGAGTACAGAAATGGCCTTAGTCCATAGGACGCCAGACTGTCAAATGAGGCACATTCTTGCTTAGTTGCCTTTTGTCATTTGACATCTTTAGATAAGTTGATCCAAAAGAATTTAGACAGCTTTGTAGTACCTACTCTGTTATCAGTTTACTTCCTTTTTTTTAGCCTTGGTATTTTCTAACTTTGCTGTAGGCTTTGCCTATAACTGCAAAGTTAGGGTTTCTGGTGAAATAGTAAGAATGGCAAGTTAAAGCTTCTGAGTACCATGCTTAAGCCCTATCCATCCTTCCCTAAAGAGAAGTGAGGTGGGGGAGGATCTCACAGTGTTAACATACATTAAAAGCATGGATTTGGAGCAACTTCAGCTTCACTTTCAGACTTCATCACTTCCTGACTCTGTGACCTCAGGCAAGCTTACATATTTTGTCCATGCTTCAGTTTCTCTTCTGTAAAACTGAATGACAGTATCTCTTTGGGAGTCTTTGTAAGGACCAGATCAGATAAGGGACGTAAGCAGGGTGACTTGGTAATTTATCGTGTTGTCTGGGCCATGTTTGAGAGTGAAAGGGGAAGTTAACCAGATGGGCTATCAGGACAAAAGGTGTAAATTAGGGCTGTCATGGGCAAACTGGGCACGCTGCACATTAGCAGCTAATGCAGCACCTGGCACTTACTGACTCCCTCCCACCCAACCTGGTTCCCTAGACCAGAGCTACAGAAAGTGTGGTCTGAGAACATACTCTCAGCAACACCTGGGAGCTTGTAGGAAATGCAGATTTCCCAGATGTCTTAGTTTCTTAGGGCTGCGGTAACAGTACCACAAGTAAGTGGCTTTAAACAACAGAAATTTATTGCCTCACTGTTTGGAGGTTAGAAGTTTGAATTCAGGGTGTCGGCAGGGCCATGTTCTCTCTGAAGGCTGTAGGGGCGGATCCTTTTTTGTCTCTCTCAACTTCCGGTAGCGTAGCCTCAGGTGTTCCTTGGCTTGTAGATGCATCTTCAAGGGCATTCTTCCCTAATCCATGCGTCAGACATCAGGCTGGAAGTTTCTCCTGATTCAGTGGTTGCAGGGGCTGACAAACCCAAAATCAGCAGGTCAGACAGTAGGCTGCTGGCTCACAGGTCTGTAGGAGCTGGCGAACCCCAAAATCTGCAGGTCAGACAGCAGGCTGCTGGCTCACATCCCAAGAACCGGAGGTCAGAGGATGATGAGTTGGCTGCAGGATCCGGAGTGAGAGTGAGCCTTGCTGGGACATCCATTTGTGTACCGGAGGCAAACCACACCCCCAAGGAAACTCCCCTTTCAACTGATTGGCTGCTCATAGCAGATCTCATCATGGAGGTGATTACATTATATCAGATCTCATCACAGAGGTGATTGCATTATATTAGATCTCATCATGGAGGAGCCCCGGTGGCACAGTGATTGCTGCTAACCAAAATGTCAGCAGTTCAAATCCACCAGCCGCTCCTTGGAAACGCTAGGTTCTCATCATGGAGGTGATTACATTATATTATATGACATTATGTTGCATTATGGAAGAGCAGTCACTCCAATATCTGTCACACCACTGAGAATCATAGCCTAGCCAAATTGACACATAATGTTAACCGTCACAATACCAATCACACCCCAGACCTAATGAATTAAAATCTCCGGGAGTAGAACCAAGGAATCTGTGTTTTAACAGGCTATCAATTCATTCTTTTAAGCTTTATAAAGTTGGAGAACGACTTCCCTAGACTCTGTGCTGAGTGCCAAATATAGGGCTCCCCGAGAAAGAAACCACCGGAGTGTTTTGGGCAGGCCCTTGGGGCAATCTGTGGGTTAAAAATGAATAGTAAAGAGAAACTGAAGGTATAGGAGAAATATCTAACATGTTTAGACCATTGTATGCAATGAGGCAATTAAAACCTTTCTAGCTGTCGCTGCAACTTGATTGCGTCTTTCAGAACTGAGACTGGTTGGACATTTAAGCTACAGGGCTTTTGGATATGGAATTTCATCCTTAGAAAAGGGAAAAGTCATTTCTCACCTTACTTATCCACTTGGAGGGCAGAGAGTAAGGAGGGGGGGTGTTTGCCTGCAACTGCTTCTTAATGATGGTTGCTTAATTATCTTTAGGATGTGTTGATCTCTTTCAAGACAGATATTAAATCTTGAAAGGTGTGAAAGAAATGTATCATCAAATCTGTGCTTTTTGATTGCAGTGAAATTTAGTCTTGAGTCTGAAGATTAAATGAGAAATTGCTTTAAAGCTTTTTAGTCCCTGGTGGATTGTGAAGTTTAGAAAAAAAAAAAAAAAGTCAAGTTGCCACCTGCTGTAATGTGTCCTAATTAGCCAGTCTCTTGTCTGAGTTGGGGGAGGACTGAGGGGAATGGGGCAGATGGAGGAAAGTGAGAGTGAGGAATCTTCCATCCTAAATGCCCTAAATACTGGCAGAGGCAGAACCTTGGTGCAAAAAGAAGAGTCCCTAGTAAGATACAGTGCATTTGTTACCAAGACAGGTAGGCCAGGCCAGAACCCCAAAATCTCATGTGAGTCTATAAGTTTGTTGAGCTTAGGCAAGGAGCCCTGGTGGTGCAATAGTTAAGCACTCAGCTACTAACCAAAAGGTCGGGGGTTCAAACCTACTAGTGGCTCCACAGAGAAAGACCTGGTGATCTGCTTCTGTAAAGATTAAAGCTTGTGAAACTCTGTGGGGCAATTCTGTCACATAGACTCTCTATGAGTCAAAATCAGCTCGACAGCACACAACAACAACAGTGTTACCATCTCTGTAGAGACAGGGAAGTGAAGGATACCGAGAGACCCATGACTGGGAATTAGAAGGGCCCCTGGATATCGTAATATTTAACTTTTTTGATTTACTTAAGAGGAAAAGGAGGCTAAGTGAAGTGGGGTGACTTTCCCAAGGTCTCCCAGCCAGCAAAGAGCAGAATCAGGACCAGAATCTAAGCTTCGTGGCTTGGAATTTAGTGCTCTCTTCATGGCAGCACAACACCTGCCTTTGGGCATGTATGAGACAAAGTCATTGTTTTCCTTCTGCTGCCTTGGAGAGTCTTCTTCTGCATTAGAGCTGGAGGCAACAATATGGGGCAGCTGGACTTGGAAGAGGTCTCTGGGTGACACTTGACTACTAACAGTTGGCGTTTTGAACCCACCCAGCGGCGCTGTGGAAGAAAGGCCTGGCCATCTGCTTCCATCCATAAAGATTACAGCCAAGAGAGCCCTATGGCACAGTTCTACTCTGTAACACATGGAGTCACCATGAGTTGGAATTGACTCGACAGTAATAGGTTTCTTTTTTTGGTGTGGACTTGGAAGACCCATGCCCTTGTCCCAATTCTGCTACTACCTTTGGGACCTTGGACAAGACATACATCAAGTCAGTGGCATTAGGCTAAATAATTTTTGTTCCCTTCTTCCTCACATACTCCATTCCTATGAATAAAACAAGAACGTGACTTGGAACACATCAGAAAACCCTCCTCTTACTTACTGTTAACAAAACGGGTAATGAGCCGCCTCAGTGCAGCTTAATCTGAGGTCAGGTTAGAGCCCGTAATATGTTTTCTGTAGTTCCTGCAGAGTACTAATTCCAGCTCTGATTTGCAAACATAAAAGAGAAAGGAGTGGAAGGGAGAGAAGGATGATATATATAAGAATTACCCAACCTACAGCTGAGGTTTGAAAAAGAAGCAGAATTTTTTCTCCAGAAGAATTTTTCTAATCTCACATGCCAACTTTAATCAACTGGTAGTGTCTGACAAGAGCCCCACAGACTGTGGAGGATAAAACATTGCCACAGCTGATGAGTCATGTCTACCATGGGTGGGGAAGAAAAGCGTAGAAGCACATGAGCCAGGTATTTTCCAGCTCTTTCTTCAAATGGAGTCCCTGGGTAGTGTACACGGTTAATGCTCTCAGCTGCTGACAGAAAGGTTGAAGGTTTGAGTCCACCCAAAGGTGCCTTGGAAGAAAGATCTACTTGCAAAAAATCAGCCATTGAAAACCCTGTGGAGCACAGTTCTACTCTGGCACACGTGGGATCACCAGGAGTTGGAATTGACTTGATGGCAACTGTTGTTTTTTTTTTTTTTTTTCTGGTTTGGTCTTTGAAAAACGATATTGAAAAAATAACTGCTACCTCTGCTTTATCCATATGTGTCTTTTGTCTTTGTACAAAGGTCTGTTTATTGTACTCTAAACTTTTAACTGCCCAACTCTCTGTTAAGGAACCCCCCAAGACCACAGATGGGGAAGAAACCCTTTACACACAGACCACAGACCCTTGTTATCTTCTTTCTTCTGATTCCTCCCCTGGATCTTTTATTCTGGAGATTTACAACGAATTGTGAAGGTCCCAAGAACTACTGCCACTCAGCTGTAGAACAAATTAGGCCCTTCCTGTCCCTTGGTCGGAGCCCCGGTGGCGCAGTGGTTAAGAGCTCTGGCTGTTAACCAAAAGATTGGCAGTTCGAATCCATCAGCCGCTCCTTGGAAACCCTATCGGGCAGTTCTGCTCTGTCCTGTAGGGTCCCTATGAGTCGGAATTGACTCAACAGCAGTGGGTTTTGGGTATCACTTGGTCAGGAGGTGCCTGGCAGGCCTTGCAACTGGCATATAAACCCAACACTCATCTGCTTTATCAGGGAAAAGTGTCTGCTACAGCTCATGCATCTCCATGCTCATATTCACCCCCTATCACCCCTAACAGGTGTACATAGCCAGGAGGCCTGGTGAAGTGGAGCAGAGTTAATTTTCAAAAGCAAGCTGTGTACCTACTCTCCAGTCTCCTACCACCTTGTTCTGGGCAGTGTCTCTTAAATTGTTTGGCAGGAAGCCTAAGTCTTTTCTAGAAACTGGGCTAAATTTTTGTTTAATTAAATCTTTTGCTCATTTTTCCCATTTTGCCTCTTGGGTTGTTAGGAAGCCACGGAGGCAGAAAATTCAGAGTGCTCCTTTCTGGCAAAACAACCTCATTACTAGCTTTCTTCCCCTTCTGTCTTCCCCAAAGTCCAAGGACTCATTGGATGTCTTCTTTTCTTGTCAAGTCAATAAAAAGAAGATATTTTTCAGCTTGTAGCTGCTCTTTCAGGCCAAACCATAAAAATAATTAGCCGTCATAAAGAGAGTAATGAACTTCAGCAAGGGTTTCTTCCTGAACATTTAAGAAGGTGGTTATTGCACAGATCCTTAGAAGTCTCTGATGATATGCTGCAAATAAATTGTAGTCCTGGTAGACCAGGTCTGTAGAATGTGTACCTCTAATGAGGAGTCCCGGGGTGCAGGGGGTGTAATTGGTTAAGTGCTTGACTATTAACTATTAAAAGTTGGCAGTTTGAACCCACCCAGTGGTGCCTCAGAAGAAAGGCCTGGTGATCTGCTTCCAAAAGGTCACTGCCTTGAAAACCCTATGGAGCACAGGTCTACTCTGCAAACATGGAGTCATCATGAGTTGGAATCAGCTGGACAACAACTGGGTTGTTTTTGTTTTTAATGAGGATGAAAGGCCTGACAAAGGTGTTAAGAGATAGAAGGGATTTCTGCTTTTTACCTATAATTTCTGATTCTACCTCAAGTGTGGCTTTTTTTTGGGGAGGGGGGAGTGGTGAACACCACGCCTCCATTGTGCCCTATTAGTCTTGTCCTCTAAGGTGTGTCTTTAAGCATGAACTTCTTTTAATTGGTGACACAAGACAAAGGTATGAGAATTCAGGCATAGTCTGCTGGAAACAGTGGCCCTGCCCCAAACCCTCTGCTCTTTTTCCAGACCCCAGAGCATGAGGGACGTTACTATGAGTGTGATGTCCTTCCATTCATGGAAATCGGATCTGTGGCTCATAAGTACTACCTCCTAAACATCCGACTGCCTGTGAATGAGAAGAAGAAAATCAACGTTGGGATCGGGGAGATAAAGGATATTCGGCTTGTGGTAAGTGATCCAAGCAGCATATGACACTAGAGGTACTAATTCTTGGGCATGTGTTCTAGAATGAAACCCCATCTCACTCTTGGCATCCCTGTGCCTCAGTTGTGTCATCTGAGAAATGGGACTAATAAGGTACCCATGACAGCTGAGAATGTAAGGTAGACTAATTTGTGTGAGAGATTACAGAAATGGAAAACAATTACTGTGCCCACTTAAGATTTTATTACAATGATCAGTTGCATAGTGAGTAACACCAAGATAATAGTAATTTATTTTAAATGCTTGCCTTCCAAGCACAAATGTTAAAGGGAACAAAGGTATTTTAGGTGATGAAGTCTTTCCAGTTTATTTGTTTAATAGGGGAACATGGAGTAAGGAGGCCATTTTTTTAAATCTTAAAAAAAAGAAAAAAAGATCATGCCAGAAATACATACTTCTTTTAGAAAAATTAGAAAGTACAGTTGAACACACAGAACATAAAATTACCTGTAATATCCTGCCATCTAGAAATATTCACCAATGTTGAGATTTTGGTGTATCTCACTAAGATGGCACACGACCAGGCAGCATTTTGTTCTGTTATATGTAAGGTTGCCATGAGTTGGAGCTGACTTGACAGCAGATAACAACAGCAATGTACATATAATCCTCCCCGTACAAAAAGTGATTTCACAGGAGGGGGCAGGGGAGCTGCTAATGGGGAACCCACTGTCAAGAAGGAGAGAGTGTTACATGATGGGGTTGGTAACTAATGTCGCAAAAAAAATGTATGTCTTAATTGTTTAGTGAGAAACTAATTTGCTCTGTAAACCTTCATCTAAAGTACAATAAAAAAATTTTAAAATGATTTCATATTTAACACATTTTGTTCCTGGCTTTTTCATGTAACATTATATTAATAATATAATAAAAATATATTTTACAATACTGCTTAGCATTCCATTGTATAGGTTTACCTTAACGTATTTAACCAAGCTCTCCATTTTGGGCATCTAGGATAGCTCCAGTTTTTTAATGAAAATCCTTACAGAAAAATCTTTGATCATAATCTTAACCATTCTCTTACCATGGAGGGTCCATTTTTATACCTTTTGATACATAGTTATTTCTACAGTGTCTGAGAAGGAGCCAAGGGTAATATAAGGACAGTGCATGCTGTGAATATGAAAGTTTTTAGATTTTGAAAGTTGAGCAGACCAAATCTCCACCCACTTCTCTCAGATGTGTTTGAAGGTAGAAAATAATACTAAGATATATTCAACTTCAAAATGATTACTGATCTCTATCCAGGGAATCCATCAAAATGGAGGCTTCACCAAGGTGTGGTTTGCCATGAAGACCTTCCTTACGCCCAGTATCTTCATCATCATGGTGTGGTACTGGAGGAGGATCACCATGATGTCCCGACCCCCCGTGCTTCTGGAAAAGTAAGAGCTCATTTCAGAACACTCCTTTTGACCACTGACATCCCATGCCTGCCACCCTCCTGCTTTTGCTGGGGTCTAGTTCAAGCAGCCAGTGTGCTACATGGGCTAGTGAGTTGACCAGGAGTCATCCTGGACTCCTTTTTCTTCTTCAGCTTTCACATGCAAATTATCATTAAGTCCTAAGCGCTCTACTTCTCTTATATTTCTGGTCCATTATCCTGTATCTGGAGCTCTGGTGACACAGTGGTTAAGAGCTACGGCTGCTAACCAAAAGGTTGGCGGTTCGCATCTACCAGCTGCTCCTTGGAAGCCCTATAGGGCAGTTCTACTCTGTCCTATAGGGTCGCTATGAGTTGGAATCGACTCAACAGCAATAGGTTTTATCCTGTATCTTCTTCTCGTTTTCACTGCCAGAGCCAGATACTTCTCTCAGTTACAGCGGGTGAACTGCCCTGCTCCTAACTAAGCCCAATCTTGCTCGCCTACAGAAGGGCGATGCTCCTGTGAATTATGCCCTTTCTCTCCCACGTCATTGGCCTTTCCCTTTCTGCTGGATTATTCCCACCAATATACAAACATGCTATACCATCTCCCACTCCTAACCAAAGTCTCCCTTTTCCCCACTTCCTCTTCCTGAAGCCACCACACCCTTTCTCTGCTCCTCTTCACAGCAAAACTCCTCAAAAATCTTGTTCATATTTCTTCTCCTTCTGTTTTCTCTTGAACCTGTTCCAGTCTGGATTCTTCCCCACCACTCCACTGAGACTGTTCTTGACAAGGTCACCAATGACCTCCATATTCCAAACCCAGTGGTCATTTCTCAGTCCTCACTTTTCCTGACCCATCACCAGCGTATGACATAATTAACCATTCCCTGGTCCTCCTCCACCTCCGCCTCTACCACTCCTTGTCTTTTTCTTGGTTATCCTTGTCTGTTGCTGGCCATCAGTCGGTCTCTATTGCTGTGTCCTCCCATCTTTCCAGTCTCTTAAACTTTGGAGTGAAGGCTCTGTTGTTGGACCACTTCTCTTTATTAGTTACACTTATTTCCCAGATGATCTCATCTAGTCTCGTGGCTTTAAAAATTATCTACACTCTGATGACTTCATTTATGCCCTCAGCCCAACCTCTCCCAAACAGCTACTTACTTAACATCTTCACTTACATTGAAAAATGAAACATATGCAAAGAACAACACTTAATTCTTCCCACTTCAAGCCTGCTCTTCCGCTAGGCTTCCTCATCTTAGCAAATGGCAACTCCATCCTTTCAGTTGCTCAGGCTACAAATTTAGGAGTCATCCTTCGCTGTTCTTTTTTTCGTTTCATGCCTGCCATCTAATATATCAGGAAATCACACCATTTTCACTGCTACCATCCTAATCTAACCTACCTTCATTTCTCACTTGCTTTGTAGCCCTGGTGGCGTAGTGGTGAACAGTTCGGCTGCTAATCAAAAGGTCGGCAGTTCAAATCCACCAGCCGCTCCTTGGAAACCCTATGGGACGATTCTACTCCGTCTTGTGAGGTCACTATGAGTCAGAATTGACTCGACAGCAACGGGTTTAGTTTTTTGGTTTACTGGGAAGAGCCTCTCAATTTGCTCTCCTTGCTGCCACCATTTTCCTCCCTACAATCTATTCACACAGCAGCTAGACTGCTCTTTTTCAAGTGCAAATCAGATCATATCACTCTTCTGCTCAAAGCTGTCTCCTGGCTTTTCATCTCCTTTGCCCTGGCCTGCAAAGCCCTATGTGATCCAGCCCCATGCCACCTCTGATCTCATCTTTTATCCTCTCCACCACCCACCAGCTCCCTTGATGGTGCTCAAACATGCCTGGAATGCTCTCACCCTAGGGACTTTGCACTTTCTGTTCTCTTTATCTGAAATGCTCTTTCCTGGATATGTTTGTGGTTCAATTCCTCATTTCCTTCCTTGCTGCAGTGTCTCTTATCTTAGAGGCTTTTCCTGTGCACCTTATATAAAATAATACCTCCGTTGTTTTCTGTTTTCTTACTTTGCTTTATTTTTCTTTATGACACCCATTCTTTATTTATTTACTCTCTTTTCCCCTTCACCCCCTTCTCACCCTATCTGAATGCTCTTATGAAAACAGGATCCTTGCCTGTTTTGTTCACTGCTGTATCCTCAGCTTCTGGAACAGTAACTGGCACATAGTATAAGTTCAATAAATATTTTTGTAGGAATTAATAGAAGAATCATGTCATTCCATTATTTAAACTCATTATTGGATCCCCAGTCCCATCAAGATAAATTTTAAGTTTTGTAATGAGACATACAAAGTCCTTCATGAGCTCAGCCCTCTTCTTTGGTCTCATTTCCTGTCATTTTTCTGAAATGTGCTACTTCCAGATCCCCAAATGCTTTAGGCTGTTCCAGGCCTCTGTGCCTTCATCCAGATTCTTCCCTCTGCTTGCAACATCCTTTATTCATCTACCTAACCTCAACTCACAGCTAAGCTCAGTTTCTGTCTCTGTCAGAGGCCTTGTGCACCCCTCTATCATTTTATTTGTCACACTCTGTTTCAGTTGTCTCTGTATCTGGCTCCCCCACTAAAGTGTAGCTACATGAGTGAAAGAACAGGTCCTATTCATTTGGGTATCTATAGTCCTGACACAATGCCTGGCACGTGATAAACATGTATTGCATGAATGAAAGTATGAATAAATTAGTGGCATCATGAATGGTATTTCAATAGAAAGGAGAAGTGGCAGTTAATAGTATGATGGGGGGCAGGGGGAGAAATATAAACTAAACAAGCAACCAGAAGAATTTGTATTTCATAGATATTTAGAGTCATTTGTTATTAAAATAAATATGCTTATATAATTCAGAGTTGCTGGGCCCATCAGTAATAATGCGTGTTCTTAATGATCAAGTTAACGATAACCTGAATCCCTGTGAGAAGATAATTATATTCAGTGAGAACTGTTTAAGAAGTCAAGGCAGAGCAAAAAACATTGTAGGAAGCTGTTAGTCTGAAATGGTGCTGTCAGTAAAGTTTGGGGCATTAAGGAGGTTAGGTTCAATTATGCAGAAAGGCTAAAGTAACAAACACTCTGTTCTGTAGTGGTGCTAGATAAATAGGACATTCTGCATCTCTGTAGAGACACTTATGAGAGCTAAGAAAATGATCCTATGGCTTCGGTCCCAATAAGTAACATCTCAGTTCCCAACATTGGCTTCTGAGTTTTAAAATCCTGCCTCCCAGATGAATGAAGAGGTTTTCCTGATATGTTCTCACCATCAGAGTCATCTTTGCCCTTGGGATTTCCATGACCTTTATCAACATCCCAGTGGAATGGTTTTCCATTGGTTTTGACTGGACCTGGATGCTGTTGTTTGGTGACATTCGACAAGGCATCTTCTATGCAATGCTTCTCTCCTTCTGGATCATCTTTTGTGGCGAGCACATGATGGTAAGAGCCCACTGGGGAAGGGACAGACATCACACCATGGTTGCTGTGTGCAGGCTGCTGAACTGACACCGGCCCTCTGCCTTAACTCTAGCTCTGGGTGAGGCAGGTTAGCTAGTGGTTATGGTGCAAGATGTGGAGTCAGACCCTCAGCTTCAAATTCTGCCGCACCACCTACTAGCTGGGTGGCCTTGGGCAAGTGACTTTATCGTTCTGAGTCTCAGGTTCCTCAACTTGCAAAATACAATTGAAAGACCTAATTTGTAGGGCTTTTGTGAGAACTAAATGAGATAAATGTAAGCAGAGTACTTGGCAGAGGGTAAACCTACAAATGGTAATGCTGACTATTATTTCTTTTCCTTTGACTTGGACGGAGCTTCAGCTCTGCTTGTCTCTAGCACCAAGTTAACCTCTAGAGAATGTGGGCATGGCTCTTTTCAGCTGGCCGTTTGTTGAGGTGGCCTAGTAACCTCTGAAATACTGACCTCTCTAGTCTTATCATCAGTTTTCACAGATTTCAAATCATATTTCAAGATGATTGAAGGTACCATGGATAAAAATGAAAATGGTACCGTCATCACATTGTGGCTAAGGCGATACGCCAGCTAGAGCTTGGTCCTCATGTCAGGCACATGGGCTTCCTAGTAGAGTGGACTGCTTTTAAATTCCATTATGGTTTGATCATTGCCCTGAAGATTTGCTGCACTCCCAGGAAAATAGTGTGAGAGGAGAGACACCTCTGCCTACTGCCGGGCCTTGCGTAAGAGTCCTCCAACAGCAGCGCATTGAGGATGAGCCCTTGGCACAGGAACTGGGCGTGGACAGCCAGCCAGGGAGAATCATCCACAGTGAGCTGGTGTGGACTGTCCCATCAGGGCCCCAGCCTGGAGCCTGAGACGTGTCTTTTGCCCTTTCCAGTTTTTTCACTCTAGTTTCTCCCATTTTTTTGCTCTCAGTGTCTTTGTTCATCTATCAAGAGGAATTGTTCTTGATTTTAATGATAATAAGGAGAAATATATTTATTTTTTTAACCATAGGAGACCTCTTACACTTCACATGTTTTAATACCTCAGAGTCTTTATTTGGTCCTATAAGGACCACCTCACCTTTGCATATACCTCTCCTTCAAAAGTTATAAATCACATATGGATTTAATTCTGAATGAGCTATTTTGGGACCACAGAACTTCCCCAGCTTGGAGTACAAGGCCTTTCTTTTGTTCCCATGGCATCCTGTCTTTATTGCTGTCAGAGTCCTTACCAATGGGCTTTGTAATTATCTGTTTATGTGACAGACTTCTCCAAAGAAAGTGAGCTCCTGAAGAACAGAGACTTTTATCTTATTCATTGTTGTATACCTAGAGTCTCGCATGATGCCTAATACACAATAGGTGGTCAGCAAGTCGTGTTTGAATGACTGACTCACCTGTAGAATTGCTTTGCTCTCCTCCTGTCTTTATCTTGTGTCTCAATTTGGTTTTCCTCAGGATCAGCATGAGCGGAATCACATTGCAGGGTACTGGAAACAAGTCGGACCGATTGCTGTTGGCTCTTTCTGCCTCTTCATATTTGACATGTGTGAGAGGTGAGCAAGTGCCCCGGGGCTCAGAGCTGATGTGCCCACTCCCATCTCTTCAGGAGGAGTATTCCAAAAGCGGAATGGTGATCATGAATCTGTGCTTTGGCATGAAAGAGTTTGACATGGTCACATCCACAGATGAGGACTGTGAGTGAATCAAAGACAGAGTGCTGTAGATGCAAAACATTTGGGCTGGTCATATTCTAAAAGCTTCTTTCTTTTTAGATTCTTTGGCACGTTCCTTAGTCTAAATACAGCCCCCACCCCCAGCTGCAAAGTTATGTAACAAGGAGCATTCCCCGCTTTGCCTTTTTATTAATTGTGTTTTGCCTTTCCATCTTGTTTCTCTTTGTAGAGGGGTGCAACTCACGAATCCTTTCTACAGTATCTGGACCACAGATGTTGGAACAGAGTTGGCTGTATCCTTCCTTGTTGAGCTTAAAGAGTTTTATTTCTTCCTGTAGCTGCCTGGTCTCCAAGATCATTTTCTAAGACACTGCTGATGCTCTCCATATGGGCTCAGCCAGAGCTTTGATCCTCAGACCAATGATAACAGCATAATTAAGGCAAATAATGAGAAGAATTAATGCCTGCTCTCAGGCCTGGGTGAGAGCAGGCAGAATGGGGAGGTTGCAGCACATCCCCATGGCACAGAGATCAGAGTGGCTGGTTTTCCTGCAGCCTGTCTAAATTATCTGTTATACACTTGTTTACCGCAGACTGAAGCATGACTAGCTTTTCCCTGGAGCCACATAGGTTCATCTCCGGGCACCTGAGTAAAAGCCTGTTTCTGAAGTCGTCTGCTGGCGGTTTCTTAAAGTGACCTTGGCATGTTGGCATGCTGCGCTGCCGTTCTTCATGCCTGAGACTGAGTGGAGATAAGGCTGAGGTGATTAGTTCCAGGGGAGTCGCCGAGGTTTCTGGTTGGTTGGCCTAAAGTCTGTCTGAGTCATCTTCGTGAAGCAGAAGTGACAGTCTTCGCTTATCCCTTTTAGGATGCTGGATTTAAATACTTTATCTCCCTGGATAATATGTTAAGTGCTCAGGGAGGAAAAAACTCTCATCTGGAGTGGGGAGAAAGTCTTGGGTTGGACTCTACCTTGATGGATAATGATATATTGTCATGTGCTGGTAAATACGCTTTGTCCAACCCTGATGATTATACTCATTTTCTTAGTGTCTTAAGAACTTTGTGAGGAAACTAAATCAGGGGAATGGTTATTTTAAAGATGAAAGAATTAGAACCCCTCTCCTCCCCTACCACCAAAAAATGTTAGCAGCACACCAAGGGACTATTTACATTGTTAAGTCTACTTCAGCGCTTTTGTTTTATAGATTCTGACTCATGACGATCGCATGTGTGCAGAGTAGAACTGCTCCATAGGGTTTTCAAGGCGGTGGCCTTCCAGAAGCAGATCTCCAGGTCTGTCTTCTGAGGTACTGCCAAACTTTGGGCGAGCCGTCAAGAACTTAACTGTTTGCACCACCCAGGGACTCCTGAAGTTAGTGTAGTCGAGGGGAATTGGAGTCAGCTTACCTGCCTCCCAAGCCAGCATGCTCTTCTCCAAGGCTTGGTGGTTCTCATGTTAGGCTCTAATGGAAGGTCTGAGCCTCACTGATGGATCTCAGAGTATGCTGCCCCCTTCCCCTGTGCCATGCGTCCTTCTGCTCCCTGCTCCATTCAACAAGATTTTCTGTGTTGACAAAAAATTACAAACAGTACTTCATCCCTGGTTTTATTTCAAGACCGTCAATCCCATGCCCAGGGACCCAGGCAGCTCCAACCCCAACCCCTCCCCATGATTCCGGAGCATCTTAATTTCATAACTGGAAAACTCCGGGGACTATGAGGTGAGCCCAGTGGTTGCCACACATAGTTATACTTGATTCCCTAGCCCTGGGAAAATCCAATTCATATATCTGGGGTGGGGCCTGGGAGTCTACATTTTAACTCACTCTTGCAGTGATTTCAATGCAGTTTTTCACCTGATCAGTGTTTAGCATCCAATATCCACCATCTCAGTGCTTTTCAACTTTATTGTGCATATGAATCTCCTGGGGACTTTGCTAAAAGTCAGATTCTGATTCTGTAGGTCTGCAGTGGGGCCTAGATTCTGCACTCCTAACAAGCAAGGCCCCATTCCTCTTCTTACTTGGCTTAGAAAGCCAATTTGAAGACTCCCCTCTGGGGTACTGTTGTGTCAGAAAACCTCTTTCTCTAGCTACCATTAGAATGCCAGTGTTTGGTATTTTATCTCCCTGAAAAGTGCATGAATATTTGGAGACAGAGAGTATTGCCAGCAGAGCTGGGGAGAAGTGCTTGTGCCCTTTCAGCATGCCTCCTTGGCCTGTGTGCCGTTTCCTTTACGGGATACCATCAGATGGCCTTCATCATTGTGGCTGGGATCTGCCTCTGCCTCTACTTCCTGTTTCTGTGCTTCATGGTATTTCAGGTGTTTCGGAACATCAGCGGGAAGCAGTCCAGCCTGCCGGCCATGAATAGGGTCCGGCGGCTGCACTATGAGGTGAGCAGATCTCTTGGCTCATTGTAGAGTGGGTACTTGATGTCTCTTGCTTGATGTGTAAACACACACACACACACACACACACACACACACACACACATCTGTGGCTTGGCACTAAAAGGCTCTTCTCTCAAATACACGTTGAGATTCTTATGTAGGATCTGTGGGCAAAATTCAAGGCTAAATCTTACTCTGAGAAGCATCTAACTGGTCTATCTAAATATTGGAGTTTCCTGTAGTATAAACTTCTCTCTGTCCCCAGTAAGGAGTAAACTTGTTCAGCAGGTTTTTTGGCTTTGGGATGGTATGTAGGGGCATACTACGTGGGAGATTTGACTATGGTAGGATTGGGACATAGCTTGGGGTGAAGCTTTGGTCAAGGTTCTCCACCGAGAATCAGCCTTAAGGCTGAGGGTCGACCCAGGTGGTCTGATTTCCAGACTCCAATAGACCACATATCTCCCCTCAAATATCCAGCAGGTGCTCAAATAGAATTCAGTAATCTCAGTTTACAGATTGCACACCTCATTCAAGAGAAAACACTTAACATCATCAGATCTCTAACGGAGACAACATATTCTTGATCAATCAAGAATCCCTTGAGTGTATGCCTAAGCGGCTGCCCTTGGAGACACTGGCCTAGTTACGCTGTGAAAAGGGGAGCAGAAACTGAAGAATCACAGGTTTTTATATGCAGTGTATCTGCAAATGTTGTTTGTCAGTTGCCGTCGAGTCATGGGGTATCTGCAAATAAGAGCTCCTAAATCATAATAGGTGTCTCTTCCTGAGACACAGCTTCCCTTAAATCCTGCACTCAGGAAACCACAAGCACTTTCTGAGGCATGCCTGTCTCCAGAGCTAGAGTGACACATGAGAAAATTCAACCAAATCCACTTCATGTTGATTAATATGCACATTTCTTTGTGTTCACTGGAGCAGAATTTTATTACAACCGCAGAAAACTTGGATTTGGTAACTTTGAACCCTTGCAGAGAAGCATAACCAGCTTAGCAGGGAAATTAGCGGCTTTTCAACGTGCTGTGAATATAATTTCCCAGGCTCTGGTATCGCTGCTTCATGTGAGATAAGAATGTAGAAACTGTTTGGCCCAAGAAGTTTCCCAGCCACAGTCACCACTGCAGGAGAAATGTTGCTATGTGAAATTATTTTACTAGCACTCCTAGGGATTTGATTTTATAGACTTTTGAAAATGGGCTTTTCTTAGATTTATATATTGAGATAAGGATTGATGATAGCTGGTGGAACATTAAACTACTGTTTTCCCTCTTTCCTATTAGGGGCTGATTTTCAGGTTTAAGTTCCTTATGCTCATCACCTTGGCCTGTGCTGCTATGACTGTCATCTTCTTCATCGTTAGTCAGGTAAGTGGACTGTGGGATGTCAGGATGAGACTGTCCCTGGAGCGGTCCCTCTACTCCGCACAGAAAATTGTGTAGAGCCCCGGAGGAAACGATCAGAGAGGCTGTCATTGTGGACAGCTGGTGGAGTCGTGTTTGTTTATACGGCTGTAATCTGGGGCTGGGGGCAGTGGTAGTTCAGTGGTAGAATTCTCTTTCCATGCAGTAGACCCGGTTCCATTCGCGGCCAGTCTACCTCAAGCACAGCCACCACCCATCTGTCGGTGGAGGTTTTTGTGTTGCTGTGATGCTGACCAGGTTTCAGTGGAGCTTCCAGATTAAGGAAGAAAGGCCTGGCAATCTCCTCCTGAATGAAAACCCAATGGATCACAACAGTTTCGTCCCACTGCGCATGGGGTTGCCATGACTTGATGGCAGCTGACAACAGCCACAACTGGAGACTTGTTATTACTTGGGTACTGAAGGTTGACTGAACTTCCCTTTCACTGCAACTCTAGGGAGGGAAAAATTTGCTAAATAAATTAAAAGTTTACAGCCACATTGAAGACGGCATATTCCATTTACTTAAGAGAATAAACTTTTTAACCCCTGTAGCAGAATGCTTAACAAGCAGTGTATTAATTTGATTTGATCCTTATCTAGCCATTAACATAGATCCTTGGACAATTCATCAGCCATTCTGTGTAGTAATTGTATTGTCTGTTAAACATGAAAAGTAATTCAAAAGTCCTCTCATTATATTGCCTCTTAAACATGAAAAGTAATTCAAGAGTCCACTTGATAGATCCTGTTCTTTCCACACTGGTTATTTCCAAAACTCAAAATTCTGCTACACTTGGAAATCTCAATAATGGTAATGAGGATAGGATTTAAATATTGGCCACTTGTTTTGAAAAGTGGAAAGTACTGTTTAAATCTAATGTATTACATATGTATCATTCATTTGCACTTCACAAAATCCTATGAGTTAAGTAGGGTAGGAACTGGTATCCTAGTTTGCTAGCATACGATATGTAATGGCTCTAGAGACATTTCCCAGATGTGTTGCTTTCCAGCTGGGTGGACCTTTGGATGGATCACTTAACATTTCTAAGGTTTTATTTCCTTGTCTTTAAAATGAGTATAACAATAGTACCCGCACAGAAGGTGGGTGGAAGGGTCAAAGGAAGTAATGCTTGCAACGTGATAAGCAGCATGCCTGGCACATGAATTCCAAAAGGTTGAATGTCTTGCCAAAGGACATACAATAAGTTTCTGCAACACATGGGGTCACCATGAGTCAAAACAACTCGAAGTTCTTTTCACATCTGCTTGGACCTCTAACAGTGCTGTATTTGTATCAGGCTGTTTGTTTATAAAACCTTGGAAACTCTACTCTCTACTCCAAATGTAGTAAAAATACTTCAGATTCTGAATGAGTTTTTTATTCAGCCAGCTGAGGGTCAACCACCCATATTCAAACAAAGTATGTGTCTGAAGCATGACCTATCCTTGGTTTATTCTCTCATGTGAGCAAAATGCTTTCCATCCCTCTAGCCCCTCAGTAGTGCACGGTGACATTAACACTCCCAGTTCTGCAAGGCTGAGAGAGCGTGAGCACTGCCTGGAGAAACAGAATCTCAAGTAAGATGGGTGCAGGAATAAAGGGCAATACCAATGTAAGTTCTCAGGGAGGCAGGAAGCAAGGGCATTTCCATCCTCATACATGTTTTTACCAGTATTTAAAGCTCAAGTCATTCTCCCTACATGCCCATCTCACTCTCTTGTCTCTTTTGAGAGCTCCTTCCACCTGAAGTCAACAGGAACATTTTGCTGATCTTTAAGGCTACATGCTGTCAGAATTAACTATGTACACACTTAAAACCAGAAAACCAAACCCGTTGCCATCGAGTTGATTCTGACTCATAGAAACCCTATAGGACAGAGTAAAACTGCCCCATAGGGTTTCCAAGGCTGTAAATTTTCACAGAAGCAGACTGCCACGTTTTCTCCTGCCAAGCAGCTGGTGGATTTGAAGCGCTGACCTTCCGGTTAGCAGCCAAGCGCTTAACCACTGTGCCACCAGGGTTCTTTCATGTACACGCGTCATTATATATATTAACACACACACATACACACACACACACACACACACATACACGATAGTTGCCATCAAGTTGATTTCTACTCATGGTGACTTTGTGTGTTGCAGAGTAGGACTGTGCTCTGTAGGGTTTTATGGCTGGTTTTTCAGAATTAGATCTCCAGGTCTTTCACGTTTAATCTGTGTGCCCTTTAAGCAAAGGAGACTAGTCTTCCAAGGAGCCTAGTTTGTGGCTTTTCTTTGGAGAAAAAATGAAGATTCCATTGCCCCAGTATTTTCTAACATGGCTCCAGCCGGTGGCTGGCTTTTTATATCTGCTGTGACAGTTGGCCCAGGGTAAATTCCAGCTCTAAGCGGGGAGTAGTGAGGCCTTTTGGATTCCATTAACTTCTCATTCTTCCTGCTGGGTTTTTTTTTTTTTTAAGGTTTATTTATAGACATCTAAGATGTTTTCAGGTAACTCTGTCCCAGGTACTGTATTAATATAGTCATCAGAGGATTTATTTTTTAATGTCATTTTGGAATGTCTCAGCAATGATCTCACCTGAAAGAAAACCTATTGGGTAACTTTTTGAAATAGATCCCAGCCTTAGGTGAAAGGAATGTATTAAAACTCCCATTATCCTCTCAGGCTTGCTGGGAGAGATTGCATTTAAAGCTCCATGAAATATAATACGAAGGGATCTCTCCAGGATATTAAAGCTCTGAGGCCAGGAATGAAAGGCTGACCGAAGCTGTGGAATGCACTGACCTTGAGGCTTTGTAGCTGGGTACTGAGGTGCAGTCTTTTAATGCCTGCTATTTTAATGGCCTCAGTCATAGCAACCAAGATATGGTACATTACAGTCTGGTATTTCAGCCACTTCCCTCTGCAGGGGCGGGGGCTGTTCCATTTGGAGGTGGCGGGCATTAGGGAACAGATGTGCAGTGCAGGGGGACGAGGTCACTGGCCTTCACTAAGGGAATTCCCAGGTGCCTGACATTCAGGTCAAGCCACATGCAGCAAACTCCCAGAGAAACTGTCCCCAGCTCTTTTTTTTTTTTTTTTTTGTGATCATTTTATTCTGGTACAGAGGAAATGTTTCCAGTAAGAGGTCCTGTGTCTGGGATTTGGATATCTTGTTGTGAAGTGGAATGTTGGTTGTCAAGACTACTGGGTGTAAAGGGATTTGACCTTCACTTGGCTCCAGGGGTATAATTGGGTGGTTTCACACAAAAGTAAATTGTTCAAATGTAAAACCAGGAAAAACAGAGACTTTTAGAAATAAGGCTTATGCAGAGGATGAGATTTCTTTTTTTTCTGCGGGGGCGGCAGGGGGCTGGGAGTACCTGATTTTTCTCTCTGAAAAAGTTAAAATGGGCGGCTATCACCTCTTGCATCGGCATTACTAAAATTCGAATTTACAAAGCCTGCTCTGTTGAGGGTGGTTATTGTGGTGCATGTTGGTGGGAATGTGCTCGGAGCTTGGGATGTCTCAGGCATGAATAATTGAGCAAGGAGAGTTGGGAAAGCCCAATCCAGTCTCTCAACAGTGGAGTTACACTATATACACAATTCATTTATGCAGATTCCACTCTTCGCCCTCAGCAGGAAATAATGCATTTAGAGATTACAAATTAAACAGTGTGGATAATTCTTCCCTTCATCCTAAACAATGTGCATGTGTCCCAGAGCAGGCATGAGACGGGAGCATGAATCCACCATTTCCTCTGTCACTCTTAGCTCCCACCTGCCTCCGTGGCATGAGTATCTCATCCCAGTGGTTCTACTATAAAATTAGGTTTTGCTTATGTAATCAATTTATAATATACCAGACATTATTATATTTAGAGTATACAGTGCATTGCAGACTAATCCAGGCTAGGAAGAAAGATGATCTACTTCTGAAAATTAGACAATGAAAACCCTATGGATCACATCAGAATATTGTCCAATGTACTGCTGGAAGGTGAGCCCCCTAGGTTGGAAGGCACTCAGAATGCACAGTGGACTCAAGCGTAATAACCATACCAATGATTGTTTAGATGACGCAGAACTGGACAACATTTTGTTCTGTTGTACGTGGGGGTGCCATGAGTCGGAAGCAACTCAACAGCAACTAACAACAACATATTAATATACAGATTTGAAAATACAAAAATCTGTGTATATAAACAAACGAAAATACCAAACCCATTGCCATGAAGTTGATTCTGACTCATAGCAACCCTATAGGACAGAGTAGAACTGCCCCATAGGATTTCCAAGGCTGTGATCTTTACAGAAGCAGACTGCCACATCTTTCTCCCATGGAGCGGCTGTTAAGTTTGAACCGCTGACCTTTCGGTTAGCAGCAGAGCACTTTAACCTCTACGCCACCAGTGCTCCTGTGTATGTTGAAACTGATCCTTGCTAGAACTGGCCTGACTGATCTACCTAAGGAAATAACCCAGCTGCATGCCTGGTACACAGTGGTGCTCAGTAGATTTTGCTGAATGAATGGGAGCGAATGTGTAGGAATGGCAGTACAAATACATGGAGGTAGAATGGGAGAATAGAAACAGCAACTCTTAAGAACTACCTGACTGGAAAGTAAAGAAAAAAAAATTGCAGCTAATAGTATAATAATTGCATTTAAAAATGAGAGGAGATGCCAATGGGTAACAAGTGTTATTTAAATATTGCTCTGTATTGTGTTCCTTTATTATCACTTAAAACAAGTAGGTAACACTGATGTTCACAAGGCTGAGATATTTTTGTAATAATAACAAGATAGCAATAATGTTTATTCAACACTGATGATGTGCCAGCCACTATACTTAGTATTTTACATGAAATATCTTATTTAGTCTTGATAACAACTCTATGAGGTAGGTAGGCAACATTTCAATTTAACACATGGGTAAACTGTGGCACAGAGAGTTGAAGTATTTTGTCCATGATTGCTCAGGCAGATAGTTATGGCTCGGACCCCAGAGAATGTGTTCTTAACTATTACACAGCACAAGAGTAGGAATATTATTTTAAACGGTGGCCATTCTCTGAAGTTAGCATTGTGAGGCAACCGTTGTGTAAGGTCAAATTTCTTTGGAAAATTCACTTAATTATCTATGGTTTTATGTATGTCCTGGGTGGCACAAATGGTTAATGCACTTGACTGCTAACCTAAAGTTTGGAAGTTCAAGTCTACCCAGAGGATCCTTGGAAGGAAGGCCTGGCTATCTGCTTCCAAAAAATCAGCTATTGAAAAACCTATGGAGCACAGTTTAACTCTGATACACATGGGGTGGCCATGAGTCAGAATCGACTTGATGACTTTTTTTTCACTTAAAAGTAAGAAGAGTGACATAAGGAGACATTTTTAAGAAGACCTAAATAACTTGAATGCTGACGCATTGTCCTACAATCAGTAATGGTTACAAAATCCTTCTTTGCCAAAAAATATTCCTGGAAACTTCATATAAAATAATTTTATAGTTATTTTCCAAAATAAATAAGATTTCATGGTGGTAGATTGTTTATGAATCATAAAAATGAAGAATAATGCATCAGCAAAGCCAAACTAAAGCTGGTACGTCAACGACATTTAACCTGGCTAACTGACACTCCAGCTCTTTCAAGAAGAAATGCCTGTACCTTCACCTTTATTATGTCACGGGCCCCAGTGGGTGATGGGTTAAACAGCATGACAGAAATGAATACAGACCCAACTACATCATAAGCAGGAAGTGATGTCACCCTGCTTATTAAAGTCATCAACATTTAGATCTAGTGTGACATCTTACAACTGAGAAGGGGCCCCTGGAGGTGGCTTGTGTAACCTAGCCTCATTAAACTCTCATGGGAACATTTGTCAGATACTTTCTACTTCTCCTAGTTAAAATTTTCTGTAGCAAACAAGTGGTCAAAAGCATTTCATTGATCTCGGAGTTGGCACAGATTATTAGTCACTCAGCTCAACAGTTCTGTTGACAGTTTTCAGCATAATCCATATGTCATCAGACAGCCCTTAAAACAATTACCAAGCCATTAACACAGTTGAAAGTAGCTTCAAAACATACCTTGTGGAATTGTAAAGCATACGAAAGCTTCATAATTACTTTTATGAGTGACTTACTTGGAGTGACATTATACAGATAACTGAGATTTATTTAGTATTTACTATGTGCCAGGCAATTTCTAGAATTTTTTTTTACTCAACTCTCCTCAGTAGCCTTGCAAGTTTTAGGTACTGTTACCTCTATTTTACACTCAAAGAAGCTGAAGTTCAGGGTCTTAATTTTTGTCTTACATTAGAGAAAGTGAGTGGTAGAGCCTGGATTTGAAGCCCAGGTCTTTCAGCTACACCACACGGCCACACTAAAGAAAACTGAGGATCCGTTGTTCATTTGGAGTCCTGGGGTAGTGCAAATGGTTAATGCACTTGGCCGCTAACTGAAAGGTTTGAGGTTCAAGTCTGCCCAGAGGCACCTCGGAAGAAAGACCTGGCCATCCACTTCTGAAAAATCAGCCATTAAAAACCCCGTGGAGCACAGTTCTACTCTGCCACACATAAGGTCACCCAGAGTGAGAGTTGATTCAATGACAACTGTTTTTTTATTGTTCATTTAGTCTACCTCTTCGCTGAGGGCCTGTGGTGCATCAGGCACTGAAGATACAGCAGTGCACGAAACAGACCTGTCTTTGCCCTCAGGGAGTTTACATCTAGCTGGGAAGACAGACAGGGAAGGAGGAATTAGAATTGTGGATAAGTGTTAGACTCCAGCACATTTTTTTAAAATGTGGGATAACAATGCACTGCTGTTTTAGGAAGAGATTAATACCTGTGCTCAGACAGTAGTGCCTAGAGGGAGAATTAAAGAGGACACAAGAAAGAAGAGCTTCTCCACTGTGGAAGTCTCCAGATCACCTGCAAAGCCTGTGTTTAAATCCCCAATTCGAGGGACTGGAGGGTTGAAGCAGGCATGTGTATACTGAGAAAGCACTCAGTGATTTTGATACCACCTGGTCTCTTCAGAATTACAAAGACAAGTCACCAAAAAGAGAAGAATGCCTGTAATTCAGTGTAGAACATCAAGACAATGTTTCTCAATTATTTTTCCTCCAAGGAGTGTATAACCTTAGTTCTGCAAGTACTGGCATTAATCACCAGGTATTTAACAAGCACCTAATCACTGCCCGTTGGGTGATGCACAGTTAATTGCTTGGCTGCTAACCAAAAGGTTGGAAGTTGGAGTCAACCCAGAAGCACCTCAGAAGAAAGACCTGGTGATCTATTCCAAAACATCAGCCATTATGGAGCACAGTTCTACTCTGACACATGTGGGGTCGCCATGAGTTAGAATCAGTCAGTGGCAACTGGTTTTACTCTGTGCTCAGAACTGGACCAGCAGTTTTCTACTGCATGGCTCCACCCTCAAGGAATCCACATCTAATGGGGAAGGCATTTTTTCCATAAGTGACGATTTGTGAGTTCCTCAAGACAGTGGAACTATAAAATAATCTGTAATGTGGACTAGACGTATAAGACTTGGGAGCTGGCTACCTCAGCATGGCCCCAGATAGGTAGGGATTTGTGCAAGAGTTCAGTGGGATTTTGATAGGGGAAATAGTTTAATGGAGGTACTTCTGGTGGGATCAAGTGGAGCAGAGGCCTCTAGGAAGGAGAGAATAGGGTGTGCTGGCACTGAGATAGAATCCTACTGGTTTTTAATTTCTATTTTAATTTTTCTTCATCCAATTTTTATTTTTCTCATCATCGTGGCTCTGATTTTCTGTATCTTTTTTATTTTTATTATGTTTTATTGTGGTAAATATACATGAACGAATAGCTTGCCATTTCAGCATTCTTCACCTGTACGAGTCAGTGACATTAGTTGTGTCCATCATGTTGTTCAACCATTACCATTATCCATTTCCAAATTTGCCTATGACCCTTAACAGAAGCTCAGTGTCCCTAATTTTTTAGAGCAGTTTTAGGTATACATACTCTTGGGGGTATTTAATCAGCTCATTGCTCCTCCGCAGGATATCTTGAGAAGCAGTATAGAGTAATAGATGAGAGTTAGAGCTCCGGAGATGAGACATGCATTTGTATCCTGGCTCTCCTCCATGACTTCAAAAGTCCTTGCCCTCTCTAAACCTTAGTTTCCTCCCCTGTAAGTGGAGATAATAATAGTAGCTGCTTCAGCTTGGTGGACAGCATGAAAGGCATTAATACACATAAAGCCATTAGTGCAGTGGTCTCCACCTGGCTGCACACAGTAGTTACAGAGGAAGCTTTAAGAGTATCAATGCCCACAAGTCTCTTATTTCGTAGATCTGGGGTATGGACTGAGCATCTGCGTTTTTAAAAGCTCCCCAGGTGATTCAAATGTGTTGCCAAGGTGAGAGCCACTGACTTTGTGCCTGACACATAGAACCCAAAGCCAAACCCACTGCCAACAAGTCGATCCCAACTCATAGCGACCCTGTAGGACAGAATAGAACTGCCCTATAGAGTTTCTAAGGCTGTAATCTTTACAGAAGCAGACTGCCATATCTTTTTCCCGTGGAGCGGCTGGTGGGTTCAGACTGACCTTTCCGTTAACAGCCGAGTGCTTAACGACTGTGCCACCAGGACTCCTGACACATAGAAAGCCCTCAATTAATCTTAATTCATACTGGTATGATTCATATTAAAAGATGAGAGTCTTACATACCCTTTCGTTTTTCCCATGTGCAGAAGGAAGGGACCTAGTATTTGCATTGGTTGGTGCCTGTGTTGGTATTGTTTTTCTTTTCTGCTCCAAATAAACGTCACTGTCCTTTTTCCATAGGTGACTGAAGGCCATTGGAAATGGGGCGGCGTCACAGTTCAAGTGAACAGTGCCTTTTTCACAGGCATCTATGGGATGTGGAACCTGTATGTCTTTGCTTTGATGTTCTTGTATGCACCATCCCATAAGAACTATGGGGAAGACCAGTCCAATGGTGAGTTCTAGTCTCTTTAAAAAAACTGAAACCAAACCGGTTGCCATCAAGTCGATTCCAACTCTAGTCTCTGTTGTTGTTGTTGTTCTGTGCTGTCAAGTGGATTCCGACTTATAGCAACCCTATAGGACAGGGTAGAACTGCCCCATAGGGTTTCCAAGGAGCAGCTGGTGGATTTGAACTGCCAACCTTTCGGCTAGCAGCCTGATCTCTTTAACACAGCTTAATTCAGGACAGGTAGGCTTCTGTCTTTAGAAGGTTCAAATAGCTATCAAACTTTCCCCAAAAAAATTCTTCTAATACTGGGTACAGTGAATGAGCACCTCTGGGGACTGTGTAGCCATAACCCAAAAGCCAACACAAGCCAGAGAGTTCTTTAAGTCCTCATTTTTTATTTTTAAAATATGTTGGAATGATTGCACTCTAGTCTAAAATATGTCACAGTTTTAGTACAAATACTAAGTTTGCTGTCCTCAATTTTTGAGCAAAATTGACTCTTGGAAAGTATGCCATGTTCATTCTCTGAGTTTGAGAAGCATGATCCTAAGACATCAGGTGGAGGGAGACTGGGTCTTGAGAGTTGAAGGTAGAACAGGCTTGCTTTTACTCTTGCTCTTTTTTCTGCAAGCATTTTGGTTGACACACTCCCAAACCAATAGCCGGTCTCCTGTGCCCATAGCTTTCCTGTCCTTTAGGGCTGGTATGTGGGCCTATCTCAAATTCACAGAACCCTGAGCTGTTGGTGCTGCAAAGGACCTTAGAGAACTTTGCCAATACTGTCATTTTATAGATGAGGAAGCTGAGGCTCAGAGAAGGGAAGGTCTTGCCCAAGGCTTCTCCACTAGCCGTGGCAGAGGAAAACGGGTATCACTGCCTAGGCCAGTGTGGTAACCATCTAACAGGTGGCCTGGTAAACAACTGTTCTGAGAGCTCTTTTTTCTTTGGATACTTCACCCTACAATGTTTGGCTCCAACCTTATTCTTTCTTCTCTTCTTCCTCCTGTTTTATCATAGCCAGGTTCTTGCTATTCCCATAACAGAAGATGCACTTTCTCAAATCAATGCCCTTCACCTTGCCTCAGGCCAGAGGCTAGAGCTTTAAGGTCTATGTGTTTCCCATGTCACAAAGCGTCAGCCTTGCTCGTAGTAAGTGCTGAGTGAGTGTGCATTGAACGAGTATGTATGTATGGCCTGTTGAAACCTCATCTATCTTTTTGGCTTAGAAAATGCTGCCTCCTCCTAGAAACCTATCCCTGATCGCCCCAATTAGAATCCAGCAGCTTATGCTCAATGGAGTATTTGTTCCATGGGATCTTGATAGGTCTCAGTAGTCAAATAAGTTTGAGAAGCACTGGGTTAACCAGCATTAATGAAGTTTTTACTGCAAGATATCTTAGTGCCTTTAGTACATTAATTTGTAATGTGAGTCTTAAAAGTGGGTCTGGTAACAGCATTTCCCCAAATTATTATTTGGCCTCAGAGCCCTTTTTCTGAACAGTGTATCTTTTGGGACTAGTGTTCTGAGGAACAGGCTTAGGGGAACGTGATTACGTACACTTTTCATATGACATTCACTATGTAAGGGTCCCTGTAGTAGATGAATTTGCCTAAATCTTCTCTCTCCTGCTAGAACATTAGCTTCTTAAGGCCAAGCACTTGTTCTTAAGGGTGCTTTAAAAATGCTGAGTGAATTAATGCTTTAGAAATAAAAGTTCTAGGTTAGCCTTCATGTTTTACAGATGGCTCAGCCATGTGGAGAGGGGGCAGAAAGGCAGAGAGGAAAGACATCGGAGATGGAGACAGAGAAGCAGGGAGAGGAGGGTATCTGTGCTGAGGGTCAGGGGTGGTAGAGTGGTACTAGCTTTGCTACTTCTCTGCAAGAGCATCCGGACATCAGCCCTCTCTTCCCTCCTAATCCTTGATCTCTTTAGGGTAAAGACCTCTTGTCATGCGCAATTTCAGGCCTACCTCTGGGCATAATAAAGACTTTTGGTTCATCTATCCCCCTTCCCAACTCTTGATTTTAGTGACTGCCTTTCTAGAAGGCTCCTAAGCTAGGCAGCTGCCTTTTTCACTTCCAGAGGCCCTTCAGCTTACTTTCTATTCTCAGTTTTCACTCTCTGCATGGAGAGTGGAAGCATGCAGCCTCACAGTGGACCTCCATGACTCCAGCAGCAAGGGACTCTGGGCTTGTGAATAAGAATCTTGATTTCATTCCATGAAACCACATGAACCTGTCTTGACTCGAGGTTGAACCCAAGTAGATGGAGTTCCTAACTTCCAGGGAAATACCACATAAAGCAATCTCTAGACTTCCTGGGATGTGGAAATGATAATCCTAATGGGTGATAGTTCCTGAGTGCTGACATGTGCTGCTGTTGTCGGTTGCCATCGAGTCAGTTCTGACTCAGGCAACCCCACGTGTGCAGAGTAGGACTTCTCCATAGGGTTTTCAAGGCTGTGACCTTTCAGAAGCAGATGGCCAGGCCTGTCTTCTGAGGCTCCTCTAGGTGGGTTAGAACTGCCAACCTTTTAGCTGGTAGTTGAGCACTTAATATACATGAACTCTTCTAGTTGTATTTACTCTGTGACTACTGGCAACCCCCTTAACCTCTCTGTACGGCACTCCTCTCAACTGTAAGTGATCTCCCAAAGTCCTTTTGAGCCATGAAATTCATAGTTCTCTTTCTTCTTGCTAGCATGGAAGCGACAGAAGAGTACCGCCTGTCATTAAGGGGAAGCCCAGGAGGTGACACCTCTCACAGGTGAACAGTTTTCAAATGCTGGTAAAAATTTTTTCCAAACTCTAGCATCACTGGGCAAGTAGGAGGCTCTGGCCAACCCTGCAAAAGCAGGATGACAGTATGCCACCATGCAGGGTCAGACTCTTGAATTGGGAGCCAGGTGTTAGGCAGCTGCCATCAAGACCTCTCACACAGCACAGCAGCAACCCTCCTAGATGTGAAACCTTGCGATTGAGAGTAGCATTTGAGTGCTTTTCCGTCAGTATTTTTTGTTGAAGACAACTTGATCTGAAATTTCACAGAAAGCTCGAAAACTAGTTCTCAACCAGAGTTCACATCCCACAGGCTCTTTGCCAAAGGGTGTTTGGAAGTATTCATGGTTATTTGGATTGACACTGGCCTTTAGTGTCTGGATTCTAGGGATGCTAATGTCCTTCAATGAGCATAAACAGTCCCTTGTAAGTAAGAATTGTCCTACCCAAAATGCCAAGAGGACCCCCACTGGAAAACATTCTTCTAGCAACTTCTTGTTAGCTAGAATCTTTTGGGACCCTATGCTGATCACAAACACAGAAGCCCCACAATTTATCAGCTCTTCGATAATGATGTGATCAGCTGTGTCTTCACAACAGCCCCACTGGCAGCTTTTGTGCCCTTCATTTTCCAATATGTTGCCACGACCTTGTGCATTTGGAAGGCATCTGTTCCGTGTTGGGCTCTCTGATCATTTTCCTTCCCTTCTCTATTTCACTTTCCTTCTCTCCATCTGCCACCAGACTATGCAGTGTATCCTAGGAATTACGGAGGATTTTCCAAGATTTTGGAACTCCTTGGAAAGAGATATTTTGAAGTACTATATGGACACCTAAAAAATGAACTGTCGGGGGGATACGCTGCATTTTTAAATTCTCTGGGTCTCTGGATGGAATTCCTTTCCCTCCCCCAGCCTCCTCATGCTCTTTTTCCTTTCTTGTAGAAAGTTTTTAAGTTGGCTTGGGCTCCCCCTCCCCCTTGCTTTTAAAGTCCAGAGCCAAGAATTCACATCTCTTGCTATAGAGAATGAATCCCAGGTGTGGGGGCTTCTTGCCTTCAGGAGATGGAGCCTGAAGGGACTGGTGGAAAAAGTCCCTTCCTAGGAACTTGGCAAGCAGTTGCTGTGGCAGCAGAGGTCCCAGGGGACAAAGAAAGAGAAGCAACCATTGGAGAGGATTGTTTTGTTTGGGTGGTGGAAGGAGAAGCCAGGGGCACAAGTGTCAGGAGGGAGTAGGTAGGAAAGAAATGGAAGCAGAGAGCATCACTTGGTGCTTCTCCCTTTTGGTGAAGGAAAGGAGGAGAGAGACAAAGCAGGCAGCAGGTTCAGGAGAGGGTTGTTTTCAAAAGAACATTTTCTCAAATATATTTCTGTTTCTCGTTTATTGTATGGATGGAATACAGTAAGTCACTCTTAACAGATGAACCACTGAGCATCTCAGTACTTAGCACTGTGCTCAGTTTGATAAGAGGGAATAAGGTGAAGCTCCAAGGAGTTAGAAAAGACACTGTCCCTTGCTGTCATGGAGCTGTTAGTCTGCTCTGGGAGACAAAACTTCCTCATCTGCTGCCTGGAACACAGTATGTGGCAGGAGAGCTCCACGTAGGAGGGTTTCACCAGCTTGTTCGGTAATGCAGGCGTGTGGGGCTCTGCACTCCTTGGTTGACTTATCGCAGCTAAGGTGGTGGTGCACATACGTTCACGTGAACCATTTCCAGTGTGTATACACACACACGCACACAAACATACATATTTTTTAATTTAGCAAAGATATTTTAGTTGTTTTTCTTTCAAGGGGCATTCACGTTTTCTACCTTGCTGCTGTCTTTTCATTAAAGCTCTTCTCTTTACCTGTTCCCATAACCAATTTGTGAATTATTTTGGATGTCTTCCCAGGTACAGATGAATTGCAGAAGGCTGATACTAACCTTTAGCTCAGAGTGAAAGCATCACCTCCCAGGTGTACACAGTGATCCTAAACCCTCCCCCCACCACAAATAAATAAATAAGAACAGTCCAAACCCACTCAGTCACCAATTTGTGTTTTTTTTTAAAAAAAGTTGGCGCTACTCAGGAAGTCAGACAACTCTTGATAATAGCTCGTACTTGTGTTTTCATTTTTCTGTAAAATTCTTGTTAGAAGATTTTAGAGTAAAAGCTGGAAATGGAATCCCTGGCTGGATTCACCACTATGGTGAAGGCAACAGAGATGCCCTAATTGCCAGCCGAAACAAAAAAAAACCAAACCCACTGCTGCTGAGTCGATTCCGCCTCATAGCAACCCTATAGGACTGAGTAGAACTGTCCCATAGGGTTTCCAAGGAGCGGCTGGAGGATTCAAACTGCTGACCTTTTGGTTAGCAGCCAAGCTCTTAACCACTGCGCCACCAGGGCTCCAGCTGCCACTCAGTTCCTTCTATTTGCACTAAATGTCTTCTGTCCAAGCACTCGGTCTGCTGGAAGCAACAGCAGCAACTCTGGGCTTTCACGTCTTGGTAGCTAGCTACCTACCATGTGATGTTAGTTTTACTTCCGGAGGCTTCTACGGTCTCCTGTCACATGAAATGTGGCTTTAGCTTTTGTTGCCTCAATAAATGTTTGACTTGAATCATGAGAAGTCGGCAGTGACTGACTTTTGTTGCGGTCGTTCCCCTGGTTGCATGTTAGATGGCCTACCCCATGACCAGCCTGGCTTCTCCTTGATGTCTGAGCAGGATGGAAGTTGTCTTATCTCCAGGGCTGGACCCAGACTCTGAAATGGGTTGAGAACAGCCTGTCACATTCCCCAGTAAAGATGGGAACTGCTACCTTCCGCTGTGCTGTTTGTAGTAGTCAGATACTTTCTGCCCTGTCTCTCCCAGGGCTATTGTCCTAGCACCTTTCCTTGCTCAGTCTATTAAAATCATTTTTCTGATTCTTAGAATTACTATCACTCCACCATGATAAGGGACACCTTAGTCACCTTGGGAGGACCTTTCTGCCTCCTACGATTTCACTCAAAACCTCCATGTTTTATTGTGGCCCCTGTCTTCCTCTTGCAGTTGCCTGGCACTGAGTGCCTGGCCTCACCTCCCAAAACTGCTTTGGAAGTAGATGGGATATGGCTCTCCCCAAGCCTGATATAAACCACTGCTATGGTTGGCAGGAATTGTGAGAGATGGCTGAACCCAGGATTCTTGAACCCACTCCCACTGAGGCCACTATGCCCTATCCCCAGAATGGATCACCAGAGTTGAGCTGTCTCAAGGCAAACAACATGGACAGCATCTGTGCAATGGTCATGTGTACGTTGCCCTGATGATTTGTGAGAATGGAATTAGTTAGACTTAGGAATATTAGAAGATTCCTGTCTCTCTCAAGATTCTTTTGAATTCTTGATTCTTTTGATTCTTGAGATCAGCATAGCAGTTTTCCTTCTTTTTACTAAAGTGACCACAGACACACAAATGATTATCATGAAGATGCTGTCATCCTATGTATGCATTCCAGGCAGCTAGAATCAAGCAGCGGATGCACTTCTGCAGGTCTAACGTCATAGATACAGATCCATTACACTTGTTCACTGAGATTAAATAGGTGACAAAGGAAACAAGCCAGTTGCTGTTCCGACTGATGGTGATTCCATGTGTGTCAGAGTAGAACTGTGCTCCCAAAACCAATCCAGACCAAACCTGTTGCTGTTGAGTCGATTCCAACTCATAGCGACCCTATAGCTACCCTGTAGGACAGAGTAGAATTGCCCCATAGGGTTTCCAAGGAGCGGCTGGTGGGTTCGAACTGCTGACCTTTTGGTTAGCAGCTGAACTCTTAACCACTGTGCAACCAGGGCTCCAGAACTGTGTTCTATAGGGTTTCTAGTGGCTGATTTTTCAAAAAGTAGATCATCAATCCTTTCTTCTGAGGTGCCTCTAGGTGGACACGAACCTCCAGCCTCTCAGTTAGCAGCCAAGCTTCAACCATTTGTACCACCCAGGGATTCTAGGAGGAATCAAGTCTTCATTTTATTATTGTTAATTAGCTGAGATGAATTGACACCATAACTAGGGAGAGAGATCTACTGTAAACCGAAGATGTCTTTTTCTTTCTTAATGTTTTTTTCCTTTACCAATAAGACATGTCACATTTTTGGAAGGAGTCTTTGTCTTATGTGGGAAGAGACTGAGCATTTTTGTGTGCTGAGGAGCAGGAGTCAACCAGGGCTTCAAACTGTTCGTTCTGGTTTGAACCCCTGCTGAGAATTTGCATTTCTAACAAGTTCTGTGATTAATGATGAATTCTGAGAACCACTAGTAGAGCAGTGGGTCTCAAAATTTATTATACATAAGAATCACCTGGGGATCTTGTTAAACTGTAGATTCTGATTCAGTATATCTAGGGTGGAAATGCAAATTCTCGGCAGGGGTTTGAAGCCCTGGCGCCAACAAAAGAGAGGGAGAATAACAGGTGGGGCAAGACCTTGACAGAAGTAAGCGTGGATGGAATTTGGAGACAAAAGGAGAGATCCCTACTCCTGCTATGTTACCGCCATATTCCCACATCCATTCCCGAAGGGGAAAAATTTGGCCTTCAAAATACAGTAAAATCACACCTAAACCATAGATTTTGCTACACAGAATCCCATTGATCTGGGGCCTCATCTCAGCTCTGCCGTGAGCAAGTAAAGAAATTAATTACCTATTTGAGCCTCAGTGTCTTCATCTGTAAAATATAATGCCCATCTTACAAAGAAATATAGGGTATGTTAAGCCCCTAACAGTGTACTGATAATATGTGTTCTGTAAATTCTCTTTCATCAGCTATAAAGTATAGTTAATATGCTGAGTAGTTCATCCAAATTATTGGATGTATATATTTATAACTGTAACACATTGCATGCAGGCTTCACACTTCACTGGTAGTGTCTTTGGCTGTTGGAAACGTGAATGTTTAAGAAGAGGCAGCATAGTTTCAAGGTTGAGAGCCTGGATTCTGGGGCCTCATTGCTTGGATTTGAATCCCAAAGTCACTGTTTACCAGCTTGAGTCTTGGGCAAGTTACTTAACCTCAATTTCTTCATCAACAGAATGGGAATGACAATAATAGTAGCTCTGTCAGAGGACTGGTATGGTGATTACAAATATGTGAGGTATTTAGAAAGGTGTCAGGCACTTGGTAAGCACGTTTAAATAAGGAAGCAAAACGTTTGTGCTGTCTCTTGATGTGATCTTCAGGCTCACACACATTTTCTAGGACCTGCTAATTGGAAACAGGAATTTCATTTTAAGGCTAAAGGAGGAGTAACTTCATTCAAAACCTCAGTAGAATTACATTCTAGTGTCTGTTTCTAAGAAGTCTTCAGTGAAAGAGATTCCTTAGGTAAAAACAGTTAAAGGTGCTAAGGTGTCCGCTGAGGTGGCCAGCACTCTCTTTGAAATGTTGATAGAGCGCACTGACATGCAGATCATGAAACTGGCTTTGAAATTCTGATGGCTCTTCCACAGATATGCAAATCCAGAACTAGCTTCAACCAAGAAATGTGAGGTTTACTACGTGTGCTTGACTGAGGAGTGTCCTAGCCCAAGGGTGGATGAAGCTGGAGGAGCTTAAGGCTGGCATCTTGATGCCTGTTAGTATCTTCTCTGCCCTCCGTCTGCAGCTTAGACTTTTACCATAACAGCCCCAAATGCCATTAGCCTCCACAACAGCTTCTGACCGCTGCCGAGGCGAGGGCGTCTTTTGAGTGACCGGCTTGTATTTATAATAGGATTCTACTGCGCAGCCTCGGAGAAAAGAGTCTACAATGATAAACTATTACCACATGGCACATACGGAAGACACAGTTCAATCAGCCTGCAGGGCCAGTGTGAAGGGCGACCTGTGGGATTCTAAGGCCATCAGGTTCACTGATGCACTGATTTTAGATTCTTAAAACTAATGACAGGATATTAGACCTAAGGTTAGGGCCAGTGCTTTCTTCTAAGTCATGGTATGCATCCCAGTTGAAAACAGTGTTTGTTTATTGGATTCTATGATTTGAACTAGGAAAATTTCAGTCCCAGAAAATAAGAGATCATATGTGAACAACATAGTAATTACAGAAACAAATTTAACTTTTTATCCCCCAGCACGCCACCCCAAAAATTTGTATGTACAGTGTGGACCCTCAATATGATCTGAGTGTGATCAGTTCTTGACTTTTTCATTTTCCCTTTCCTAGGTCTACATTTGCTATGAGTCAGAATTAACTCAGTGACAATGGCTTTTGGGTTAGTTCTACATTCACTTAATTGTTCTGTGGCAGGTAGTCAACTGTAAGGATTTAATTTTCAGAAACTTATGTTTTTTTCTGCTAATTGAGAAAAGGCACATTATTCAATTTTAGCAGAGGAACACCTCTGTCCACTGGTGATGAATTCAAAGCACTGATGTCATGTACAGAATCCTGAAGGGCAGAAGAAAATTCAGAGCACATTTCTGGTATTTCTTTCCCCAAGAAGAAAATCCCTAATTGTTCCTAAATGTATTACATATATTACCTTGCCCAATCTGTTGGTAAATATAGGCAGGTCTTGTTTGCCTGTATATGACGTAGCCACTTTGTAAATTATTCACACTTGGCCTGCCCGCCTCATCAACTGGGAGACATATTGTACTGGCTTAACCCACAGCATGGACCTTTGAGTCAGATGCTTCTCAATCTTGTTCCCAGCTCCACAGTGTGTCTGCTTTGCCACCTTGGGACTTCACCTCCCAGTTTCCTCATCTATAAAGTCAGTATGATTGTAGTGCCCACCTCAGAGGGCTCTGGCAAGAATTAAATAAGATCGTGTGTTAAGCATTTAGAGTAGCGTCAGGCACAAAGTAAGCTCTCATTAACTGTTAATATACTACAAATAATATCAGCACTGAGCTAAGTTACATATCACTAGTGACTGTTCTCTGGGAGACACAAGGAAATAATAAATACTGCAAGGCCTGAGTGGAAAGATGAGGTGTTAGCCCTTGTTTTGTATTTTGTGGAGCCTGGTTTTCTCTCTGGCCTCAGAATGGGCTGGCAGTGAGGCAGTTCTTACTGAGATAAATCCCAGCTTTCTTCTACTTCCTCCTTGAACATGTCTAACACTGAAAACCGTGTTTCAGGTGATCTGTGTGTCCCCAGTGACGAAGAACGCCAGCCCACCACCACTATCACCCACGTAGACGGACCCACCGAGATCTACAGGTTGACCCGCAAGAAGGCCCAGGAGTAGGAGGAGGCTGCAGCACCTGGTTAGGATTGTCTCCCCAACCCCTAGCCGCTCTTAACTACAGTGGGGAGCGTGCTCAAGAGAGCTCAGTGCACAAACAGATGCCTCGTGTCTCTTAGCTGTGGTTTCTCGGACCAGCAGCAAGGACGTTTGTCAGTTTGCCCTCTGACGGTAGCTTTCAGAGGAAGATTCCTGCAGCCACTAGTGCATTGTGTGTGATAACAAAACCTCTGGTATGACACATTTTCTGTGATCATTGTTAATTAGTGACATAGTAACATCTCTAGCAGGTGGGTAGTCAACCTCGTGTGTTGAGGGTGTACTCCTTGGGGGGATGGTTTGGGCCAGCTGGGGTCTTTGTCGAGTGGAATATTTGACTGTTTTTCGTGTTTTAGATTCTAGGATAGATTTAAACATCCTTTGCAGTTCAAGATAGACTGGGGTCCTAGTCTTCTCACTCCTAGTCCATGACCACTTTTTTCCTGTTGATATCACCAAGTAGCCGGTTGAGTTAATATTTGTCAATAGATATGCATCCTTATTTTTTATATCATAATGTAAAATAACTGAATTTCATCAGAAGGTCCATTACACCAGGGGCATTTCAGCTTTGAAACCAAATCTTGTGTATCCAATACTAACCAGTCTGTGGGATGTGGGTTTTAAAAAAATGTTTGCAAAACTACCCAAGTAGGATTTATTGTATTAAATGGCCTTTGGGTCTGAAATGCTCTTTTTAACCTCTTGCTTAAAATGTGTTTTCTTTTGATAAGATGCTTCAAACAGCCTCCAGATGTGTAGATCTGATCATTTAAATAAACCTGTATGTATATGCATATATGTATATGCACACATCCTCCTGCTCGAACTAATAGCAACGCATGCAGATTCTTGTTTATGTTGAGTCTACGGGATTGGAAGGGGGTGGGTGGGAAAGAGCTTTATAAAAAAATTAAAATATTTTGCCGTCAAATCAAAGTGTTTGGGGAGAGTATCTATTTCAGGAAATAGGATAAATTTTTCTGTACTGGATGGCTAACTTCCCTAAGCTGGTAATGGGTGCTCATATGTGTAGCAACAAGAATGGGAAACAGGAGTTATATGCTTTGGAAACAGACTCCACCTACCTTACTCTACTTTCCCCAAATAGCCTGTTTCATTATATTTTACATACTGCCATTGGAGAGGCCACATGGTATAGTAGAGAGAGAGAACACTGAATCTGAGGTGAAAAGGCACAGTTTCCTGTTGAAAGTCTATCATTTACTGGTTGTGTGACCTTGTTCAAGCCATGTGAGCTGACCATTCCCTCATCTACACACTGGCACTAATAAAGTTTACCTGCTTCATAGGTTGCAGTGAAAATTAAATTAGTTAATGTATATGGAAATGCTTTATAAACTATAAAACCAGAAAAAACCAAACCCATTGCTGTCAAGTTGATCCCCGCTCTTAGCAACCCTGTAGCACAGAGGAGAACTGCCCTGAGGCTGTAATCCTTATGGAAGCAGGCTGCCTCATCTTTGTTTTGCAGAGCGACTGGTGGTTTCAAGCCTCCAAACTTTTGGTTAGCAGCCGAGTGCTTAACCACTGTGTCACGAGGGCTCCTTCATAAACTGTAAAGCCATATAAATATCTTCCTGGAGTCTAAAAACACAATTTCATGAATGTGCTGTTTTTCAGATACTGATGTCTAGGGTTCTGTGGCATAGTCCATTAAATCACACACCCAGCTTCCATATCCTTTCTTTGTCTTGATTTTAGCAATAACTGTAGGAAGTGGTAAGTATGATAATGGTACCTTACCATTGGTACCTTAAGGTAAGGAAGGAATGGTAAGCAGTGATGGTAAGAAATAATTTGGCTCTGGCTATTCTCTCCAGGCCTTTTCGTATCCTGGTAAATATTTAATGGTGTATGATCCAGTACACTCAACATCCGCTTCCTGATCAGCTGCTATGATGCCAGGAATCAAATGCAGCACATGCCTTACAATCTAACAGGGAAAATGAACTTAAAACATGGTGATTGTTCCCTGTCTCGGAGGATACGCCTTAAAGAAGAAGTAAGATCCTTCCAAGGCCAAAGGGCAAAGAGAACAGCAGTCTAAAGATCACAGAGGAAGTGAAGCACGGAGAATGTTTGGATAAGGCTGGTCATCATGCATGGCTGGGGCTTAGAAGGAGTAGGAATAGCAGAAGCTGAGCCTCATGCACCTGTGAGCCAGAATGAGAAGGGCCTCTAATGCTATGATAAGAGTTACAAGACTTAGCCTCTGGGTTTCAGGCAGAAACATGATATGATCAGAATTAGAAATGGAGCCTTGGACAAGCCCAGGAAAGAGATCAGACAGGGCCGGCCGGAACCAGGGCAATAGCAGAAGACCTGGGCGGGGGGGGGGGGGGGGGGGTGCGTATTTTGGAGGTCAAACTGACAAGGTTTGAGTATTCTGAATATGGGCTTGTTGGAAAGCAAGGGCAGAGTCCAATTTCAAGCCTTTCTGGATGAGAGAATTTTAAGGCCCCTAACAGAATTAGAGATTCCTAAAGAAGTGTTGGTGGGCCCATTATTTAAAATTCTATAAGTAGTAGAAACCAGCCCTAGCAAGCCTAACCAAGAAAAGGGGGCTTTACTAGAACTTTCCTAGAGTATGGGTCTACAGAAGAGTTGAATTAACCAGAAAGAGTGGGAATCAGGCCAGCTTTAACGGACCTCAGCACCAGGAATTCATGGACCTTTCCCCTCAAGCAGTACTGTTTATTTAACTAACGTTTTGTCCAAATCTCTCTCTCTCTCACTTCAGAGTCAGGAGAGAGTACTTGAGTGGCTCAGCCTCAATAGGTGCCCACCACTGTGCCAATCAATTGTGACCAGGGAGTCAGGTCACATGGCTGCTAGGGGCTCATCCTGTGCCATGGGGGCTGTTTCCAAAGTGTGGAGAATCCATTTTGAGCTGGGCAAACAACCAGAAAAGATCCACGACAACGGGCAAGATGATGAGTTTGGATCTGCCTGGGCCGGCTTTAAAAGCCATCTTCTGGAGGAAATGTCAAGCTACGATTAGAAATGACAGGTTGAGCAGGGAGATTTGAAAGTCATTAGCATTGATAACAAGAGGTACAACTAGGACAGCATCAAAGCATCAAGGAAGATGATCAGGAAGAGTGGAGAGGCAGGGACAAGCCACATTCAAGAGATGAGAGGAAGAAAATGAGGTAGGTTAATCATAAAGATGTGAGATGTCAAAGAAGTCAAAGAACAAGATTCATGAAAAAGAAAATATATATACACACACACACACACACACAATGTTAGATATCCTGAGAGGTTCAATGGTATTTAAGGATTGAGAAAAACCTACTGGATTTGGTGGTTTGGATGTGTGTGAACTTCTCAGGTGACAAAGGAAACAGGTGGACAGAGAGAGTTGGGGCAGATTCATGAGTGACAGTAATGGGAAGGAAGGAGGTAGGGAGGTTGCTCTAAGAAGAACCAGGGTAGAAGAAAGGTTTGTGTTTTTCAGTCTGGGCGAGAACTCCTGGACTGAGTTTCTAAGTCTAAGGGGAAGAGCCAGCCAGAAAGGAATGAGGACGTAAAGTAAGCCTAAGGAAAGTCAGATATTTGGGATCCATGGCACAGGTTGATGAGTTAGCTCTGGAAAGGTGAAATGACACTTTCATCCTGAGACAGGAGAGAAAGAACAGATGGAGAGTGGAGGAGAAACTTGAGGTCAAAAGGAGAGAGGTTGCAGCTTGCCTCTTAGATAGAGTGCCCTGTCTTCACAAACATGAAATGAGTGTTGGAGTTCTGCTAAACAAATCCTCAATTTCAAGAATACATTTTTTTTTTTTAAATTTTATTGTGCTTTATGTGAAAGTTTACAATTCAAGTTAGTCTCTCATACAAAAATTTATACATACATTGTTATGTGACCCTAATTGCTCTCCCTATACTGTGACAGCACACTCCTCCTTTCCACCCCTAATTTCCCGTGTCCATTCAGCCAGCTCCTGACCCTCTGCCTTCTCATCTTGCCTCCGGACAGGAGCTGCCCATTTAGTCTTATGTGTCGACTTGAGCTAAGAAGCACACTCTTCACGATTAATCATTTTATGTCCCTTAGTCCAGTCTAATCTTTGGAGAGTTGGCCTCCGGAATGGTTTTAGTTCTAAGTTGACAGTCTGGGGGCCATGATTTCTGGGGATTCTCCAGTCTCAGACCATTAAGTCTGGTCTTTTTACTAGAATTTGAATTCTGCACCCCACTTTCCTCATGCTCCATCAGAGACTCTCTGTTGTGTTCCCTGTCAGGGCAGTCATTGGTGGTAGCCATGCACCATCTAGTTCTTCTGGTCTCAGGCTGATGCAGTCTCTGGTTTATGTGGCACTTTCTCTAGGGCTAATACTTTCCTTGTGACTTTGGTGTTCTTCATTCTCCTTTACTTCAGGTGAGTTGGGACCAATTGATGTATCTTAGATGGCTGCTCGCTAGCTTTTAAGACCCCAGACACCACTCACCAAAGTAGGATGCATAATATTTTCTTAATAAACTTATGCCAATTGACCTAGATGTCCCCTGAAAGCATGGTCCCCAGACCCCCACCCCTGCTACTCTGTCCCTTGAAGTGTTTGGTTGTATTCAGGAAACTTCTTAGCTTTGGTTTAGTCCAGTTGTGCCGAGTTCCCCTGTAATGTGTGCTGTCCTTCTTCACCTAAGATAATTCTTGTCTACTATCTAGTTAGTAAATAACCCTCTCCCTCCCTCCCCATCCTCATAACCATCAAATAATGTTTTCTTCTGTGTTTAAACCTTGAGTTCTTATAACAGTGGTCTTATACAGTATTTGTCCTTTTGTGACTGACTAAATTCTCTCAGCATAATGCCTTCCAGATTCCTCCATGTTATGTTTCATGGATTCATCATTGTTCTTTATCATTGCATAGTATTCCATTCTGTGAATATACCATTATTTGTTTATCCATTCGTCCATTGATGGGCACCTAGGTTTTTTCCATCTTTTTGTTATCGTGAACAGTGCTGCAAAAAACATGGGTGTGCGTATATCTATTCATGTGACGGCTCTTATTACTCTAGGATATACTCCAAGGAGCGGGATTGCTGGATCATATGGTACTTCTATTTCTAGCTTTTTAAGAAAGCACCAAATCAATTTCCAAAGTGGTTGTACCATTTTACATTCCCACCAACAGTGTATAAGTGTTCCAGTCTCTCCACAACCTCTCCAACATTTATTATTTTGTGGTTTTTGGATTAATGCTGGTGTTGTTGGGGTGAGATGGTATCTCATTGTAGTTTTGATTTGCATTTCTCTAATGGCTAATGATCCTGAGCATTTCTTCATATGTCTGTTAGCCTCCTGAATGTCTTCTTTGGCAAAATGCCTGTTCATATTCTTTGCCCATTTTTTAATTGGGTTGTCTTTTTGTTGTTGAGGTTTTGCAGTATCTTGTAGATTAGAGATTAGAGACTGATCATATTTATTGTAGCCAAACATTTTTTCCCAGTCTGTAGGTTGTCTTTTGACTTTTTTGGTGAAGTCTTTTGAAGAGCATAAGTGTTTGATTTTTAGAAGCTCCCAGTTGTTTAGTTTCTCTTCTGGTGTTTGCCATTGTTACTTATGGTTCATATTCTGTTTATGCCATGTATTAGGACTCCTAGCGTTGTCCCTATTTTTTCTTCCATGATCTTTATCATTTTTGATTTTATATTTAGGTCTTTGATTCATTTTGAGTTAGTTTTTGTGCATGGTGTGAGGTGAGGGTCTTGTTTCAGTTTTTTGCAGATGGATATCCAGTTATGCCAGTACCATCTGTTAGAGAGACACTGGGCCTTTGTCAACTATCAGCTGCTCAT